ATATTAGTACAAATATTATATATATTAGTAATTAAAGATTTAAATTATACCTTTGATTTTGCAAACCAGAATTTTTATAAAAGTAATATTTTTCACCATGCTTGGCAGGACACGAGTACTTTGGAAAATCCCATAACTGCTTCAAACGATCATGAATATTATCACGAGCTTTACATGCAGTTAGATACGGTTTAGTAATGGCGTTTTGAGCATCAACAAAAGCTTTTGTTTCTGGTGAGTCTGGATCTTCCAGCCATCTATAAGGATCACTTATCTACAAACAAAATACTGACTTTTATGATATTTATATAACTTTTTATATAACATTCAAATTTATCTTCACTCTTATAAAATCTTCTGTGATATCGCTATTATATTTATTATTATTATATGTATAGAATGTATTTTATTTTAAATATATTTAAAAATCATCCCTTCTTAAGTAACTATGGTATTAAAAACATAACTGTGTACTAAAACTTAACTCTTAACTCTCCATCTGCAATCTGAGTTTTTTTTTACATAAGCAAAATTTGACTCAAATTTCACTTTCATCTTTGCTCAAATTTCAATTTTTATTAAATAAACATTTAAATTAAAAACTATTTGATAATATAATATAGAGAATATAATAGAGAATTAAAAAGTAATTAAATTTTTCCATAATTTTTGAAAGCCTAGAATAATAAAAAAAACCTGAGCTGCAAAAAGATTGCAGAGTGTAAAATATATACTATAGACAAAAGATTTAAATATTAAATTTTAATTTATGCTTATTATACAAGATTCAGGATTTAACAGACAAATGGGAGGATTTTACAAATATTCTACAAGTGAAAATAAAAAATAATGTTAAACTTATGTACAAATATTAAGACAGAATAAGGATTTTCCATTATGCAGAATGTGGAAGCAAAGGTCGTACATATTTATCTTGTGTACATATTCACATCATATTTATTATTTCTGTTATGTTCTGATATTTGTTTAACTTTGAAATAACAGTTCGAAAAGAATAACTGTTGGATATCGATAGTCATAAAATAATGCTATCAAAATGCCAATGTTTTACCAAAATGACACCAAAATGTTTCAATATTTGTTTATAATTTCATAATAAAGCATTTCTAGCCAAATTATTTTTTTTTTATTTCCATTTGTTCCTGCAGTTTATCCATTAAATCCTGAAATACTTATGCCTGTTCTTTTTCCATATCCCTGACTTAACTTCTTACATAATTCATCTTTCATCTTTTTTTCTCTAAAAACGAAAAAAAATGAATCATGCAAGTTCAATTCTGGCGTATTGAAAAAGAATAGGCTTCGTACCTCTCTTCACAATCTTTGCATAAAGGCTAATTGTTGTATTTGATAACAAAATTTAATGTTCATCGAAATACCGTCAAGATTCAAAACACATTAACATTTGAATTAAATATTAATACATCAGTAATCCTCCTGCAATCACTCCTTTCATCTGCAATCTACATCTTTTTATCCAATTCAAGTTTTTTTACAGTTCTAATTTTCAAAAAAATTGAAGATTGCTCTTCATTACCAAATAGCTTTTCAACACAAATGTTAAAACCCTTATTTAATAAAAATTGAAATTTGAGCAAAAATGAGGGTAAAATTTGAGAATGAAATCTCGTTTGTGTGCCAAAAAAGATCCACAGAATCGATTGAGTATTATATTTTGAAAGGTGAAAATTACAAATTTAGATGTTGACTAACAAACTTATAAATATTTTAATATTACAAATTCATTCACTTTTGTAATTTTCACCTCATTTCAAGATATTATATAATCGACCCCTAGATTGCAAACGGAGAATAAGTGTTAAATATCTTATCGTGAAAACTAGGTATAGACATTCTTTGATTTGAAATTAACGAAACACTCTACGACATGCATCCTAACCTTAACGCCGTGATAATCGTCGACGACGCTCTCGTCCCTGCGCGCCTCAGGATACTGTATTCTCGTATCCATAATTTTCGATCGAGCTGCGTCTTCCTGTGTATGACAAAATGTCGCTTAAGTGAGACAGAAAAACCTTATCTGACGATATTCTCTCGCACGTGTAAAATCTCTTTTCATATACGCAAACTGTCACCAATGCCAATTGTCACCCACAGTCCCCACAGATCTCTATATATAAGTACACTATGCTACACTAAAGTACTAAACTGTACTAAACTCACACTCAACTAGACCACTAGACTAGACCGCTAACGGCGCTAATGGCAATAATGGCGCTAATTTGCCTCAAACACCGAATCACGTGATCCGGCCTGACCCGCTCCAGTTCAGCGTTCGATTAGACGTCGTGCTGCTAAAAATAAGACCCGAATAAAGTTCAAGTCTGAGACGATGATCCTAAACGGTATGATGCGTCGTGGAAAGATGACTGATTTCGGTACTGTCGCGAATTTATGTGAATTTATATGACCTTCGTTTCTCAGGAAGGTGCAGCGCAAGAAAAAAAAAGTCGTTAATCAAGATCACGTGATTGTCGGTGACGTTTAATGCAGTAATCATGCGTCACAGATTAATGCGCGCATGCAAAAAAGAGAAGTCGCGTTGCTTGTGCGATAGCACGGCGAATCTGATCACGAATGACACGAATTCTCACTGGTGTGGTTGCGGACGTCATCCAGCGTGCTGCTTGCAAATTCACGTGATTGTCAACGTGCCGCCGAGGACCACTGTACCCTTGGTGTGCTCTCCACTGGAATCCGTTAAACAAACGTATTACCGCGCGCATCGTCCTCTCGTCGCGCGGCGCCGACAAATCGGACAAATGCGGAAGGAATATGTCTCCCTCGGCTTCATTTCCGCGGAGCGAGGCGGTACATTTGAGCTCTTAATCCTTTACTCTCTGAAATTTCTACCTGAACTGTCACTCTGAACGTTCGAAAATTTGTCTATCACCGAGTATCATCTTATACTTAGGTCTGTTTTTTATTTCTGCATTAGACTGCATTAGAACTCTCTCTTCCTCGCGTTCGCCAAATATTAAACATATACCTAAATCCGAAAGTGTACATTAGTCACAAAAAAACAGACTCTTTGTTGTTCACCGAGTGTTGAATAAGGATGAAAGATACTCGGAGTTGATAGAGTCGAGTTTTGGAATGCACTCCTAAAGAATAAAATTTCACTTTTAAACTTTGAAAATTAAACTCTTTTTCATTCTTCAGAGTAAGGCTTCACTGTAAAGAATATAGAGAGTGGCTTTAATGCATCTTATATGTATAATATGTGAAATAAGTTTGGTATAAAAAATAGGAGTAAGAAATTGACCAATCGCAGTCGATTATTTTTCTCACATTCAACTGTAATTAGTCAATCTTTTACTCTTCTTATACCAAGCATGCTGTATATATTGTAGACGCATTAAGTTTATATTTGCGAAGCTTTTTGTTTCTTTTTTTTTCGTAGAAATAAAATGTCCTTCGTTCATATCTTGGATTTATTTATTACGTATAATAAAAGTATATAATAAATCTTTAAGACGTAATATTAGTTTTGAAATTACTTTGCATTAACAGACAATTGTATTTAGCTATTTATTATCTTGAATTCTTACAGTTGCAAGGTAATAATAACTAAAATTTACAACATATATAAAAATGACAAATGAAGAAACAAAGAACTACTTTTATAGGAATATTCTGTGTATAATTATAGCTTTCTATAAAACAGAATTTGTAATAGAATTCGAACCAATAAGAAATACGAGCAAAACGAATTCTGATCATATGACTCGAAATTCTGATAATCGTAATTAAATTTTCGATTATTTCAATTAGAATACTTGATATATTTAGTTACAAGTCTGAATTGTATCTTTCTAATTAAATCTACGAGAATTCCAATTAATATACAATAAGTCTTTTTCTCTAGTAAGAAATTATTTAATTCTGTTTTAAAACTATTATTAATAAAATCTATCAACTATTAATTACTAACTATTACTCTGTTAACTATTGAATAAAATTATTCTTTTATTAATTACTTATAGCATACTTACAATATAGATGATGATAATAATACTAATTATAGTTTTTCAGCATAGTAAAATCTTTCTAATGTAATATCTGACTGAGCATCGAATTATTAAAAATTGCTTGTCAATTTAATTTAATTTGTGATATTATTACAGTAGTTTAATTACATTTATAAGTTCAGAAAACCAATTCGACACGCAATCCGAATGAACTACAAATATGATATGTGTGCATGTACATACATATAATATATATATATATATATATTCACATCAAATTATTTAAGCATTAAAGATGTTTCGACTATTATATAGGCACTTAATTTCTAGTCTATCGATTATATTCTCACACGTACGGTCTAAAATAAGATTCTTATTTATACTAATTAGAATTTTATTGCCTAACCGGATATCGTACATAATGGACTAACACAAGGAAAAAATATTCAATGGAAGAATTGATAAAGTAATTGATGTTGCTATCGGTTACTTAATATTCTTGTCAATGTGACCGCAAATAAAATGGCTCGGTTTTCGTGTTGGTTAATACATGCAATCAGTTGGTTTTTTTTAATATGTGTCTTCTCTAAAGCCTGTATAATTACGGCTTATAAATCACGTCGGATCTTAAAATAGATTTCTACTTACAGTTGCATAACGCGCATGATGTATTATTTTATTCTTGTTTAATATTCTGCGAATAACAAGGATAAAATGATACCTCATGCATATTGTACGTGTAACGGAACGCAGTCCGAATATTATTCTAAAACCCGTGTCACACTATACGTTGGAAATTGAGAATTATGAATTAGAGATTAGAGTTTGACCAATCAGAAAATTATAATTTTAATCCGTTTCATTCTGTGTGTGGTTGGCTGAATTTTAATCTCTATTATCTCTAATTCGCAATCCTCAATCTTCAATGCGTGACACGGGCTTAAAGAATTTTGTCCTCGATGCGACAAATTGCTCCAAGATTTCAAACGGAGACGAAATTGAACAATTGCATTGATCAATTGTTCGAATTGTTCGAATTGTTCAAATAATTTGTTAATGTTTTTTCCAAGATTTCACATTGATTTCTAACATCGTGAACATAAGGCTCGATATCCTATGATGATTGTCTAGTCTGAACTTAATAACGAATAATTTTAACACGCATATATCGCAGAGCAAACTGGGATGTTTCTACAAGATCCCAAGATTTAAATAAGGAATTCAAATAAGGAAAATCGAATAGTTAATTACGAATATATAACAGATCATATTATAAAAAAATAAAAACAAATATTTATCTCATTCCATGGTGAAGCAAAGAAATAATAAAATTAATGAAATCTATTTGTACATGTGTTTCTACATTAAGTCAAAGATCTCTTATTTATATGATGACTAATCGATGATTATATCAAAAAGTCCTTGATGTAATGTAGAACACTTGTATATCTTGTATGTATTATTTTATATCTTACTACACATATCTCAAAATTTTAAAATCCTTATCACAATTCGACACGATCACAATTTCTCACACTCAAAAAATTTTTCTAAATACAAGTAATTTTTTTCTTGAATAATTTCAAGTAAACATTTCTTTGCTGTAAATAAATATTTATTAAATATCAACATATATTACTTGTAACAAGTAATATATATTTGAGATTTTCGACACAATTTCTCGCTCCTAAACGAGTTATATGTTATGTTTGGATTTTAATCATAGATAACTCGCAACTGATCCACATTAGATTTGGAATTCGAATGTTTTATCTGACTTTAGTCATGACCTTTTTGAATTTTGTCATTATAATTTAGTGTTTATTAAAAAAGCGAATAATCAGCTCTTGAGATGGGCTCTTGAGATATATTAAACAAATAATAAATAAATAAATAACGATTTTATTATACAAGACTGCTAAAAATGGCTCGAATTGAGCCGAAACGTACGATTTTTATATTTATGTGTAAGATTGAAATATATGTTACTAATTTAATCGCACCAATTACCGCGTATTAAGGCTCTTAATTGTCCGTTTTTTCATTATATATTATTAATGTTTATTATTAATCGGCGTTATTTATCATTATAATGTTGCGTCTTCAGGAAATGAATTAATTTTTCATTTAGAAATGTCTGTTTAATTTGTTTGCTGAAGAAGGACAACCAAAACGTACAATTTGTTTAAATTTCATTTGTTCCATTATTTTTTTGCGCTTTATTATCGCATGACATGAGAATAAATCGTTCAGCAGATAATACAGCTTTGCAATTGTTGTAAAATTTTTTTAATACGATTGATCTGGCCTTCAGTTTCTTACCGAATCTAAATATATAAACCAATCATATTAAACATTTTTATAACAGTTGCAAAGCTACTTTCTCTGTTGAATACGGCTAATGTTTGTTTTGTACAGCAACACGATGTTTAATCTGCTCGTAATTAACCATTCGATTTTCTTTATTTGCATCTAAACAACTCTTGTCACAATTTGATTATTTATCAAAATTATTCTGATTATTCTCTGATAATATTTTTATCTCTGGCTTTCTGGATCGGAGCAGCATTTGTTAGAAATAAAAATTTCTATCAAGTATATATTAAGTCTGATCCGTCGCAATATTTCTATTTGCGACCAAAAATCCGAATGCGTTAATCATCTCCTTTTTTAATTATATGTCTTCATTATGTGAAGAAAATTACATAGCGCAACCGAACTAAAACGAGTGGATGCACAATCGCTAATTCGTCGGAAGAAATCGCAATATTTTTTATCATTAATTATTTAGCGACATTGCGATAATTATCGAGAAATCATACTTTGACCCGCGGATTGTAGTATCTCTTTTCTCTTTTTTTTTTTGGTCTTTTGCGCGTGTGACGTTGAACTATATAAGTTCAACATCAACATTGCTATTCATGGGGGGTAGTAGGGCGAGGGACGCGGTATCTTCTTATCGGTAGGCTTCAATTGCCCTCTTTTTCTCTCTCTTTCTCTCTCTCTCGTCAAGCATGATAGTAATTGCCACGTGAACGAGACTTTTCACGAGGCGGTACAATGCACCATATTGCGAATGAACGCAGTGTCGTAGATATATCAATGGCAGCAAGTAATTTATTGTCACAAATACATAAATAAAGGAAAACGCGGAAATAAAGAAAAAAAAAGTCTCCGTCTACGTATCCTCGTCTACGTATAATGCGATAATTAATTATGTACGCTGTTTGTTATTCCCTCTTTATCACTTCTTCTATTATCGGATGTTTACCAGAATAAAATATACATGTAATTACATTTTCTAAGGAAATAAGTTTCGAGACAGGAAATGCAGATTCACGCGATATACATATAGGGCGTGTGAGAGACTGTGACACAAATTCCTTTTTCGCTTATTTTACTTCTTTAATATTATTATTTACATTTCATATAGTTTAATGTGTTGTAAATATAACTTTAGTATCTGGGATATGTAAATAGTCCTACAATGTAGGATTGGGATAAATTGGAAGTATTTTTTTCTTCCTATATACGTTAGATGCCTTCATTGCCACATCGGAGCTATAAATTCAACAATATAAATGTAATATAATACTTGGTACATAACATATTGCTAAGTGCAAAATAATACATTGATATTATATTATTTTTAATTGATGTCTGAATATGATTAGATTTTAAATAAAAAAAAAAAAAATCGAGGGTTTAAAAATAAAATTCTTTTTCTCTCTCTCTCTCTCTCTCTCTCTCTCTCTCTCTCTCTCTCTCATCAAGGTCAGTTTAGATAAATATTAATATTAAGTTAGATAAATTCTAGATTAGAGCGGTATTCATGGCCGGTTCCTCGATAAACAAGAAATTTCAAGAAAGCGAATTAGAATTGCACTAGTGCATGTCAAAGGTTACTGTACACAAAGTTATAGTTATAGTTTAATGATGAAAACATTTTTAATGATGGATATTATGTAATTAAATGTTTTGACGGCAATAATAAATACTTGATTTTAATACTGTCATGTTTTTAAAAAAATATTTATTTAATAGTTTAACAATCTGTCTATTTATATTTATATAACACTAATAATTAGTTACGTACACAATGAGAAGATTTTTTTCTTTGTTGAGTTTTTCATACTTTTCATCGTTCTTTCTTCTCTTCAATGTCTATATTACTTATACTTATTTCATTAAAAATGTGCAAGTAATGCTATATTAAGTTACAAAGAACAAACTCAAAAGGAATGCACGTTGGTCAAATTCACTATTATCAACATATATATTATAAATATACGTATATATATAAATAAAAAATTCTTATTCATCGAGGAACACAGTATTACGCATATTGTAAGTCCTAAGAAACAAAATTAAATAATTTTTCAAAATTCTAAGAATAGCCAATAAGTATTAATTATTTGAGTTTGATTTAATTAACGTTAGAACTCTAATTGAAATATCGATAAAGACCCTTATAAAAATCCATTGTATTGAAAACTGAAATAATTATATAAAAATCCATTATATAAAAAAAACTGAAATAATTACTTGCCATTCTAATCAAATATGTATAATAGCCTCATAGATATTCTATTAGAATATCTATTCTGTTAGAATATCTATGAGGCTATTATACATATTTGATTAGAATGGCAAGTAATTATTTCAGTTTTTTTTATATAATGGATTTTTATATAATTATTTCAGTTTTCTTTATACAATGGATTTTTTATAAGAGTCTTTATCGATATTTCAATTAGAGTTCTAACGTTAATTAAATCGAACTGAAATAATTAATACTTGTTTACTTAGTTTTTTGTTCAATTCTTTTTAGCTTCGAAGATAGATTAATTTTAACACATATATAGAGCGCAAAATGACACAATAGCCTTGATCTCAAGAATTGATTCTAATAATTCCAACTGAATTATTAATACAACTTGATCGAATTTATAAGCGTACAGCACGGAAACTTGCAGCAACATTACAGAGATATTGCAAAGATATCTTTTTACAATATTACTTCAGCAATGTTGCAATACAAAATCGAAAATTATTGTATTACTACAAGTCGAAAAGATTCATTTATGTGTCCCTTTTTGATATAAATAGATAAGCAAAGATAAAAAGAAATAGAGATCATAAAAAAAGATAAAATATAATGTAATAAATAAATTTTTATCTATTTACCGTAGTATATACTACTGATTTCTATGGAGTTGTTAACGTAAGATAAAAAGCTTTTATTAAAAGTCCGTCGACATAATGACATTTATTTCTCGCGTGTCTATCCAGACAATACACAATGTCTAAAATTGTGACATAAGACGTTTTTAAGATCTTCTTTTAAATGCAAAAGAAGCATTTAAACACTTTTAAGTACTCTACGGCTCATAAATATTCAAACGACGGATATTTATATTTTATTTCGTATTTTAAAACTATATTAATGTTTTACACTTTATAGGAATTGACACTATTTTTGTCACAAATTTTGATTGTATGTAAATTTAAATTATTACCCGGTAAACAATTTTTCATGCATGAATATGTATAAATATGTATAGACATACATAAATATAACATATATAAATATTCATAAACATACATAAATATACATAAATATTCATAATATATAATTATATAATATATGAAATATGTCCATACATGCTCATACATCCTTTATTTTGTAAAATTACTTTTTAGTATAATAGAATTAATAATACTAGTGTGAAAACATCAAAAATAATAATAAAGAGATAATTTGCGCATTGTTCGTTTTAGAAGAAAAGTTTAGGAAAATGTAAAGAAAATTGCTCATACACAATTATAATTTTATATGTAATTATACATAAGTATTTTTTTTCACATTTCTTCAATTTTATTTTTCTAAAACAAATAGTGCGAAAATTACCGTTTTAATTATTTTTAATGTTTTCACATTAACTATTGTTATTTCTATTACACTAAAAAGTAATTTTACAAAAGAAAGAGGGATGTATATTTTATATTTCATATAAAATTATGTTTATGAATATTTATACATGTTTATGTATGTTTATACATATTTATAGATATTCATGCATGACAAATTTTTTAACCGGTAAAACAATATTTATCAAATTAACTGTCTCCAACTATCCTTAAATCGATATTACAATATTTCTCATAATTTCGTTTGTCTATACCATATTTTTCAAAGCAACCCATAATTAAAACAAATTAAAACGAAAAAACGAAATAATGGGAAATACCAAATGTAAAATCGATTCAAGAATTACTCGACGAATGTTCTTTAAATAATTTAAATTTACATACAATACAATTAACATAAACAAAAATAGCGTTAATTACTCTAACATAGTGTTATCAACAGTATAATATCGAAAACACTTACTTTAAAAGTCAGAGTAAAATATAAAATATTTGTCGTTTGAAAATAATATTTATGAACTATAGAGTACAAAATCGATCGGTACAGCCAGACGTATTGCAAACAGGCAATGGCGATAACAGTCTGGCGATAACACGCAATTAACGAGACGACGGGGGGCTCCTTATCGTGATATTTACGCGCCTGGTTCAAAATTCGGTCGCACGCGGGGAATAGACAGGGATTGGATGAGACTGACCAAGGACTGACCAAGACCGACGAGAGTAGAGTGGCGTCGCAGCTGTATCACGCATCGGTCAGCTGTACTTTGTGCTCGAACCTAGATAACCTCTTCGGAAGGCGAAAAGTGCCGAATCCCCTCTCCGTCGGCAAGTGGAACAAGAATGCCGTATAAAGACCGAATTCTCGTCTCATTTCACGCAATTTCACGTTCATTAGTGCAGGCACGACGAACGACGTTTGGATTCGCGCTGTACGAAACACCGTCGACGACATCTCGGGAAAGTTACGTGTGCCATAGGTAGCAGGAGTAGGTTACGTAGACGAAGTTGTAGAGAGAGGCTAGATCAGAGCCTAGTACCTTACTTCCGGCGCAGGTGATATTTAATTTCGGTTCAAACTGTCAGCAAAAGGAGGAATGCAAAAGGACTGTCGAGATTGTTTGGGTATCCGGTACCGCATTAATTCCCTGGACCAGACCTGGAAGTGGTTGCATCAGACCATCGCCTTGCACGACTACCTGATCTCCATAACTGCGAGCCAGACCAACGTCTCCATGTGCTTTTCTCAGTAGAGGCCACTCTTTGTCTACTGAGAAACAGAGATTGATCCAAGACTGATCTCACCGAGGTAATTTCGGTGCCTCACGGTTTATTATATCCAAGACTGATATATGTATATGTAATATATACGTATATATGTGTACGTGTGACTTGCGTCACGGTGACGTTAAATAGATCAGGTAGTCTGCGATCAACCGCTTGCCCAACGCAACCAGGATACTCCACTTTGCTTTTACACGCTACACGCAATGTCTTTGTCTGCTAGACTACGTGTCACTGTCAGGTGCTGCTCATCTCTAGACAGTGCCCATCAAACTGCCAAGCGGATCACTAGGTATGCGTCGACCTTTAATGCACGCGACAATGATAATTTCATCCAGAAGTCAGTATTTATATCGCAATCCACGGATGTGTTCGTCAACCTGGCATTGGAGCACTGGCTGTATCGCAACTTTGACTTCTCCAAGCATCACGTTTTGCTGTTCTGGAGGAACGATCCCTGTGTGGTTTTTGGCCGCCACCAGAATCCCTGGCTTGAATGCAATGTTCAAGCATCCGAAAAGGCAGGCATTGCGCTGGCACGCCGTAATAGCGGCGGTGGTACCGTTTACCATGACAATGGTAATCTCAACTTGACATTTTTTACTCCACGTGAAAGATATAATCGAAGATACAATTTAAACATCATCACGAACGCTTTGTTTCGGCAATGGGGACTGAAGAGTGTGATCAACAAGCGAGAAGATATCGTAGTCAATGAAGATTGCAAGGTATCTTTTAATATAAAATATTTACAAAAAAATCTCATTTCATTTATATGCAATAATTCAAAATTAAATATTAATTTTTGTATAATATTATGTAATATCATATGATCAGTATATACACTTTAGGCTTAAAGTTTGGAAGCACTTAAAAAATTGATATTTTTGAGATTATATAAGTATCCATTAATTTTTTAACAATTCCTTAGATCCAGAAATTGTTATTGGATCTAAATGACAAATTATTGTTAAAAAGGACATTATTATTTGAGTAAGTAATCCAAAAAATGTCAATTTTTTAAGAGTTGCTAAACGTTTGACCTTGTATATGTATTATATAATTCACACGGTTCGACACAATGATATAACAATCTTGTAGTAAAGAATAGATTTTTATCTACAGCAACTAATTGCGAAATTGTATGCTGCTCGCTTTGAGATTACTTTAAAATTGTGTAAGATTCTTAATTTATTAAAAGTTATTAAAGTTACATTTCGAAGATGTATTATATTTTTTTAAATTACAATGTAATATAGGTATCTGGAACAGCTGCAAAATTGGGAAAACCAAATGCCTATCATCATTGCACGCTTTTGGTCAACGTGAACAAAGCCAATCTGAGTTCTATTCTTGAAAGAAAAGAGGTAAGTTCTTCCTCCATATTGCTGACGCATACGTGTGTCTTCATATAGAATAAAATATGTATTTGTGTCACAAAATGATTCCATAATGCAACAATATATCAATATCGCGCTTTGTTCAAGATAATTCCATGATTATTATGCACAAAAAAGTAAGAAAAAGGCAAGTAATGAATAAATATACTTTCAGAATGGTATCGTTACAAATGCGACAACTTCTATACGTTCTCCAATTATGAACTTGATTGATATAAACCGAAATATCCAAATGGATAAGCTCTTGTCTGCTATTGGCTGGGAATATCTGCGTACGAAAGCCCTCGCTCTCGAAGACGGAAGATATGATCTCGTTGAACAACAAAAGGGATTCAAGTTTATCAATCCAACCGAAGACTGGTTTCCTGGTATGAAAAACAGCTGTTATTATTTAAAAAATATATTGAAGACATGAGAGATTGATTTTAAAATAATTTCATACATTTTGTTATAAAATAAAAATTACCGAATATGAAATATATATAGTTAGTTAATAACGGATTAAAAATAATTCTATAAATTATGTATATTACCTAGGAATTGATAACTTCACCAGTGAGTTCCGTTCTTGGGATTGGAATTTCGGCCGGACGCCGAAATTTATAGTTACCCGCACGCTTGACTTTCCCGCTCACGATGGTAAAATATATCGCCTAAATTTGAGTTTGGAAGTGCAAAACGGTTTCGTGGAAGAAATCAGAATGAGTTTGCCCGCTGGCTTAGTATCGACCGACTTCGCCCAAGATGCGAGTGTGATTAGTAATATTCGCGGCACAAAATACAATCATGATGTAACGGAAAACATAATCGCCGCGATTGGCGGTAAGACCGTCACCTTAAATACGACCCAACAAAGCATAGATGAGAACAATATGAGGCTTGACGAGGTTACATTACAATGACCCGGAGTCTCGAGCAATCACCACCATTCTGCTCCTAATGTCATTGTGTTCAAACGAAAATAATTAGTGTTAAAATTATGCACATTGTATTATACATGTACATGTATAACATTACGTCTCTATATTTTATATATATATATATGCACATAACATGCAAAAAGTAAAAAAAGAAGATTATCAACTACTATCATTGCAATATTCTAAACATTAGGCGTATTCAAGCTGATGAAGCTGTTCGTCGAACGATTAAATATGATTGGCTTCTATAGATCCAATAAACCATGTTCAATTGCACAATGAGCAGGCTACTGGTTTCGTCCGGTTTGTACATGGCTATTGAAGAATGTAGTAAAACGCAAGAGGGTCCCGTTAGCCCACATTCTGATAGGATGCATGCACTCACATCGGTCGTGCCGATGTGTAATTTAATAATTTCTCGCTGTTTTTGTTACCAATGAGAATATTTTATATTAAATTATTCTTGCCAATTAGCGATGTACGCAATTGGATCCTTCTCGTAAAACATTATTATAATTTGCCTATCGTTGATATTATTGAGAAATATGATACAATAAAAAATTAAAATACGATACAATATGTATTGTATTTTAATTTTTTATTGTTATTGAATTAACTATTTTATGAATAAAATAAATTTTCTATAATTGAAGTTATTTTATTAACCTATCGATTTATGCACATATTATTAGAAGCAAACCAAATTATTTCTTTTTAACATTGTAGCGGAAAGAAATTTTAATTTGCAATATATATTTTACGAGAACTATATATAAATTGGCATAAAACTAAAATCTCATAGAGAAATAAGTGTTGGCATTTACAATACATATGTTTAAAAATTATGTTTGAAAGATGGCACATCATCTATTAGAAGACAACAGAGTGATCAGAATCGAAGCGTGTTTTTCGATTGTTAATACATTCTGTTATTTATTTAAATATTGAAATATTTATAATTTCTTGCCTGCTCTTTATTTTTTTAAACGTTTAATTGATTTGATAAAATAACGTGTCAAAATTTTCTCTGTACAAAGTAGTTTTATTATAAATTCGTAACTTAGAATAAAGTCAATATCATTCTATTTTTGTGCTTCTCAATACATTAATATTTCTTAAACAATAGAATAAATATGAGGTTTTGTCAGCATGCAGCATGCTAATCCGTGCACTAAATTCAAAGTGACAAGTCAGTTAACAACAATGTAGTAATATCTTACCTTTAAAATTAATATACTTAAGTATATTCCGTGCTATTTGTGGCAACATTATTATTTAAATTTGTTGTAATTGAAACATTACGATAACGTCCCGGTCGCAGCATGACTTCACGATATGGTGGCGGTGGAGTATCTGGGCAGGATATTGCGGTGTCATTAAGGGGATCTTCAAATTGCCACAGATTCTGTAGCAACGAAACTCTTTGAGCATCGTTATCGGTTTGTCGTCTACAACGACATATCTTTCTTGTGATCCAAACGTAACAAATTAACATGCCGCTCGCGATACCGAGCAAAAATCCGACCACGAGAAACCAGTACGGCGATATGGAATTAAACGCTTTCGTTAAGTTTGTTTCATCTGTCGTAGTAACACAAGTAATTGTATCTTCATGCACTGGCGTAGATATAAAATTCTTTGTCACGTTTTTCTTGATGTTCGGGTTCAAATTTATTAATGGACGACGCTTCTCATACTTAATTCGTGGATCATAAATGATCATTTTTTCAAATTTCTTCGGCTCCGCATTTTTTGCACATACTGCATGATACTGTATGTTTTTGCGGGTCAAATATATCTGCAAATCATACGTAAGCTTATCACAGGACCAGGGATTTCTGAAAAAGGAAGAAATATTAAAACACTGAGAATGCAAGATTATTAGAAAGTAAATATAAATAAACTTTTTATAATTAATTGTTTTGTACTTTATAGGATAAGTGTACTTTGCGTATGAATATATTAAACATATTGAAATATGTGTTATTTTGCTTCTAAATAATTTTGAAATTACATCTATAATGATGCACATATAAAAAATTATGTACAAATTAAAATGTAGCCAAATGTTAAATTTTTCGATAACATCATTGTCTTACCCCTCTATTGATAATCTTCTTAAAAATTGTAACGTTTCAAGAGCAACGGTATCTAATTGAATCATCAAGTTATTTGAAAGATCAAGAGTACGAAGATGCGAGAGTCCAATAAACATATCCGCTGGTACATGGCTAATTTGACACGAATCCAGAGTTAAGTCCTGAGAAAAAAAATTTTTTAATTAAATGAGAAAGTGTCATATCGTTTTATACAATTGAATTAATTGTAAATCAAAATCAAAATTGTATAATATACAAATCAAAATTAATTGTTAATCAATGTAAGTCAATGATATTAGCTACAATGGTAAATATTACAATTTTATTATCGTGAATATTTTACTTAATTTAAATAACGTTTTCATGGCAAATACTTGGCTAAAATATTAAGTTATATTTACGTTAATATTATTCTATTAATGCAATATATAATATAAATATTGATGTAAATATAATGATATTAATAGGAAATATCTTAATTAACATTCTCGTTATTACCGTGAGCCAGGGGCATTCCAGTCTCGGCACATGAGAATTGAAATTGTTTTTTGACAACCGTAGAATTCGCAATTTTTTTATTGGCATGAAAATCTCCGACAAGAGATAGTAAAGATGATTTCGGGATAGATCCAAAATTGTCAATTCAGATAATCCATTAAAAGCGTTTAGGCCAATTTCGCTAATCGCATTTACGGACAAATTTAAATATTTAAGTCTTGTCAATCCTACTTCCTAAAATAAATAGAAATGTTACAATGAGTATTATATAGGAGTATTATATATCCCATTTAATATTTAAAAGTTTATTTAAAATTTATCTGAAATTTTAACTATATATGGAATGACAATTGGGAAATTGAAACTAAATGGCTGCTTTGCAATAAGTGGACAAAATGAAATGAATTAATTATTATAAAATATTTAAAAAATTTGTCATTAGCACATAAAAATGTAAAAATCAAAGTTTTTGAGAATCGAATTGTATCGAATTGAATTTCTTCGAATCCGAATTTATCCGAATTGACAAAATTTTTTACCTAAATCAAATTAAATCAAATTGTTAAAACATAGTTTCTAATTGACAACATAATAATTATTAAATTGAATTTCAATATACCACTTAATGAATTATAAGTATATTTTACAATTTTGCGAGGATCTTCCTGGATAAAAAAAAGAACAAATGTTTCTATAAACATAAAGTCTCAAATATTTTATTGTAAACACAGTAGTATCAGATATAATAATACTTTAATAATACTTTTGAAACTTTCACGGGTGTTTCCTTCAGAAGTGTCAATAAAAGTTTACGGGTTATCGCCGTGTCGTGATCCATTACTTATTGGCATAAGTAATGGATCGCGACACGATATAATGACTTTATTTAAAGTTTCAGGTTAGTATCTACTTTTTTTATTTCCAAAAAAAAGCTCAAAATGTCCTCCATCATTTTCCACACATGCCTGAGCACAACTGAATATCTGATAATCAATCATTATTCTAAATCTAAGTATTTGTATTCATTATTTCGATAATCGAAATGTTTGTGACCTATAATGTTCATAAGAATATTTGTTTTTCTTTTTTATTCAGAAACATGCTCACGAAATTTTAAAACATTTATGACTCATCTCCTATAGTTAAAAAAAAAGATTTTTTTACGTATTTTATTGTATTAGCAGGAAATATGATTTTATACGACATAACACATACATGTATACATATATATGTATATGAGGCATTTCACGTCAAACCGGGTAACTTTGAAACATCGTCATTTTTAATTTCTTTTTTAATTTGTTGACATTCTACAGATAAAAATATAACACATGTGTTTTTGACTTATTCAAAGTTGTTTAGAATGATTAATGTGATCAGAAAATTTTCTTTGTAATTCTGTCAATTTGTTCGCATTGAGGAGGATCCAGATCCAGGATCGAAATGTTTTGAAGAATAAATTTCAACATTATCCAAACTGTAAGAGATTTAATCATAATATTACCATTTCTCTACGCTCTTCAATCAGCGATGGCTCGCGAAGGCATTTTACTTATTTATTGATTAAATCGTTGAAGCTGTTAATATTTGAATTTAACTGTAACTATGTTTTCGAAAAAATTCAGATTCCTTTCATAGAAATGGTTATCCATATCGAGATCGTCTGACTATTATACATTACTGTGCTATGCAATCAGCCGAATTTTCGACTTTTTATACAGATTTATAAACGTATATTTTTTTTATATATATGATGCTAATAACAGTGATAGATATTTCCTGCAGGGTATTGTTTCAGTCGTTCCATCTCCTCCACTTTCATTATAAAACAACAGATATTTAATTTTAAGAACTTCCCGATTGTTATCCTCTGTAATCCACGAGAAAACTTTAAATTGTACATTATTTATATCGGAATTCAATTTTATATGTACAAATTTGTATATATAATTGAAAGATGTGTTAATCGTTTATTATTATAAAAATGTTCGCTAAAGGCAACGATAAAAAGATGTTCTTTTTTGTCACTTTGAAATTTAAATAAAAATTTTAATAAACTGGTAGATAATTTATGATCAAAGTGCCCAAGTAAGATCTCATTGTCAGGTAAAACTTTCTATCAAACTAAAGGTTTTAAAAGTGTCTCAAAGAAAGATTCAAAGTACCTTATAGAGCAAACGACGAATAAGAACAAAAACGAGAGAAATGGGGAATTTTTTAAATAAAACATCCGCTAGTAAAAAAAGATACAAACCTACAAATGTATTAGAGATGTATTAAGTCAGATATATAAATAGACGATAGAAATTTATATATATATATATATATACACGGCAAAATGAATTTCCATTGTCCATTGTCCTACACTTTAACACTATGGACACTTGTCATAATAAATTATCATCAATTCATCATTAAAGTTCCAAAACGACAAAAAAAGAATATTTTTCATTTTTAGCGTTATTGCTTCCAGTAGATACTTCTATAGTGATAAATGATCTTTATATCGTGATACCCTAGTTTCTCGTTAAATGCAGGCTGCTCATACAATACTCACAGCTAGTTCGTAATTATTTAAAATGGATATGGAGTTATTCGACAGATCCAAGGCTTGCACGGTGCTCGGCGCACCTGTATGAATGCTATAAAGATGGCGTCCGGTGCACGAAGCATGCTGCAAATTGTACCAGGTATCGCATTCGCACAACGACGGACACCATCCTGAGACATCGAATGCAACCTCGTAGAGGACGAGGACGATGAGCCAGGTCCCGATGGCCTCGCGCGTCATGATGTGGCGCACGGGATGGACGAAGAGCCGAATTCGACGGTCTCGCCGTCCAGCATTATTATCGCTTTTCTAACGTTTTTCACGTCCGATCGGGTCGTCGTCTCGTCTTAACCAGGCAAGAAACTGTCGTCTACTGGACGTAATCTTATCTTAACCGTGCATACGTACCAAGCGTACGGATGACGAAGCGCGTATATCGGGACGCGTCATATCATCGTCTTATCCTGCTCATATATATCGTATACTTTCCAGGAATCTGTGGCGCGAGAGATATTTTACTAGCCGAGAGGAAGGAAAACTACCTTTGTCAAATTTCTATAGGGACAGACGGAACTAATTGCTGAAAAGCCGAGCTTTGAAAACAGTGCATGTGACTTATGGGCTTTCTACAATAAGCCATTAATCATAAGTTTTCTTCATTTATTTACCTGTTTCTTCATTTATTTTACCTGCGATGACTATACCTATTTTTGACTTTCACAGCATTATTCATTTCTCTTTATAGAATTTTGTATTTGTTCGTCTACAATTCATTGCCATTCAAGAATTCAGAAGAGAATTAAGGGGTGTCTTTCTATACAAATTTTGCAAGAATGACGAAGCATGCTCACCAAGGGCGGACACAACGGTCCGATCGTAAAATCGAGACGTTTCCAGAAAAAAGTGCCTCTACTACAAACCGAAAGAAATGACCGTGATGAGACCCCATGCGGTTCTTCCGTTGAGAAAAACACGTACCCGATTTTAATAGAATAGTGCAAACTTTCCCTAAGTTTTCCGGTGCTGTAAAGTACGCCTTGACATTGTGTATGCATCCATGTTTTGCACACCCAAGATGGGAAACGTTTGTGTTTAAGTTACATTGTTATTTCCGCCTTGCCTTAACTGAAGAAAAAAAAGCTTATTTTAAAAACTCTAATTTTATATATATATATATATATATATATATGTATGTGTCAATGTACTTTATACAACAGCTGTCTTTTTATGCTTAATTGTTTATTAGGCATGCGATTCATATCGCGAGATTGAAATTCCGGCGATAATTGGTACGAAAATTGATTTTCGACTTCTGCAGTCAGTTTTATTTGTTAGTAATGTAATTGTGACAATATTCAAGTTAGTTAGATATGACCTAAGAAGTTTTATGAAGTAAATTAGCGCTTTGTTGTAGTTGTTCTTTCGATAGGCTTACTATTTCGAAATATTTATTATCGGTTAACGGTAGATCTATTTTCGAGACTAATAATCTCTCGGTCGCTAAGTGTGCGTTACATGCTTTTTTCAAGAAGAATAAGTAGACTATGACTTATACGTTTACACTGCTCGATTTACGCCGAAGTTATAACATTGATGTTATAAAATTGGTCAATCATAGTTATTTCTTTGAAGAACGGAATAACTGTGATTGGCCAGTTTCATAACATCGGTGTAACTTTGGCGTAAATCGAGCCGATGTATATTTTATATATTTATTTGCACTTATTTATATTTATGTATTTAAAAATTAAATTTATAAAATGATAAATTATGAGCCAAGTTAAATGCTTATTATTAAACGTACATTTTTACATGAAAAATTTGATCAACAATGAAACAAACGTTTTTTTAATCTCTATCAAGTCAATGTTAACAAAGACTAATTATTGTATTTTGTACGGTACGTAAATCGAACGGCAGTTAAAAATATAAAAATTAAGTCCTTAAATCGCTCGAAAATCTTACATACCTATTGTGACATAAATCAGATAGAAGGTCAACAATAGTAATGACCATGTATAAATTAAATAAAATGTCAATCCTTTCATCAATCTGTGTAAAATAAATAAAATTATGCTCATCCGGTAATCAATTCGTAATCAATTATGGCTGAGAAGGAATCGGTACAATCTCAACATTAAAACGTACAAAATTTGCTTTTTTTATATAAACAGTTGGCTATAAAAAAACTTATTTATTTATCTACAATATTATTAATAGAATTAATGTAAATAATATTTACGCTAGAAATTATATATTTTTATATGTTGATCTTTCTTTTCCTGGGGTATGCTTCCTTTTAATTATAATCTATATACATTCTAGTTACTCATTGTTTTTTCACTAATGACGATTTTTAAGGTTTCTATCCCCATGAGACTATCCAGCATATTAATGCTGGTTATGGATAATAACTGAGAGATAGCCAAGGATATCACGTGTGTAGATGTTTCTATTGTTAATGACGTTAAGCTGAAGATTGACTAGAATTTAGCCGAAACGTATTTGTATTCAATTATGTTAAATACTTTCAAATATACTGAGGTTCGTTCAGTAATTTAAGCGCAACAATTACAGCGCGGATTCCTAAATGCCCTTTATCAATTTTAGTATTTATTATCATTTGATCTTATTATAGAAGGAATCTTACTACGATTATTTATTTAGATCTTTCTTTTCTCTTATGTACATACATACAAAAATACATAAACGTGACTATCAATCCAGATAGCCAAGCAAATAGAAACAGATTTTACAAAATAACCGCAAGTACAAATTTTTTTCAGCAACAGAATTATAACAAAATTTGCTAGCGAAATACAATATAGACGACAGCAGATCGAATGCAGAGCCCGAGCAAAATCTACCATTTCGTAATTACTAAAATGGAACATATCATTCAAATAATTACGAAATAGCAGAATCTGCTTGGTTTTTGTTAGAATACTAGTTTAATGTGGAAGCAGTGGATACTATAATCCAAGTCTATCCAATTTCAGCTCCAGAGCTGAAATGCAGAGCCATCGATGTAAAAAAATTCAATGTGGGTAAAATTTCGGGGACTGTAAAGTGTTGACACGCATCTAAGCGACACTTATCAACAGTTTATAGTTCTTAAAATCTTACACTGAATATATTTTTACATCGATGGCTTTGCGTGTTGGCTCTGGAGCTGAAATTCGACAGGCCTGCTATAATCTGTCGGAATATTATTCTCAGGTCAAATCCGTTGATAAACTGCTAACGCCCTGCAGCTCCTGCTTCCTGGAAATTTCTAACATTCCAGACATTCGTCGCAGTGGCGCAGACTGAAATGAACTATTTGTTAAAGAGTGCGTCGAGATATCAAGATAACAAGATAATGAGATAACAAGAAATTCATCGAGGATTTTTCAGCACGAACGACGCGCTCATTATCCTTCCTCTGTATCTTATAATAAGGGTCAGCGATTACCGAGCTGATGAACGAGGCGCGCATATTGCGCAACGTCCACGGAAATAAATCTAGGATAGGCTGCTGGGAACGCCGTGGACCGTTGCCTTCTATTTCACCGGTCCACCTTCTCCTCTCCTCCCCTCTCCCCTCCGCCTTTACGTCCGACCGTCCCCCTCGTAACATCTTCCGGCCATTTTCATCGCGCGTCCTCCGAGCGCCGCCATGACGATCGCGTCCGGCAATGCGACGATCGTGCGTCTCTTTGCGAGAATCGATGCCGGCCGGGATGTCGGGCCGATCGAGAGAGATGGCCTCGGACGGCCTCGAATCGAGCCGGGACGATTAACGAATCGTAATCCCGCGTCACGCTCGACGAACATTCGCCCGTCGGGGATCGGTGTCGAGGGGAAAAAAGCGCATCTGTTACGCGTCGGACGCCGGGAACGGAACCCGTGGCGTCATCGCTACGAGCTCTCGTAGACCATCCACTCTTCCGCGTGTCATCCGCTGGCGCCCTCAGCTGACGCGCGTCCTCGGCTTTCTTCGCATGCGCCGTCAACGAATGCTGCCGGCCTGCAATGCAATTCGTACTCGGATTCGGCCGTAACGTCGACGCATCGAGGTCGTCGTTCTGCTCGACACAAGGCGTCTCGCTCTTTAACTAAAACGACGAAGAATAGGACATGCAGTTACACCGTTAGGACAATAATGCTCGTATCCTTTTGTATCCACCGTTGCCGTTGCCGAGCTCGAAGGCGAGCTTTGCAAATGTCTACCGCTGGCGGAAACGGCATACTCCACTTTGCGGATCGGACACGCCGGCGTACGCTCGACGCGCGCAGACCCTCCACTCGCCGTGTGTCGTCACCGGGCGACTCAGCTGACGCAAAATGGCCGACCAGGACTGACAGCTGAAGTGGAAAGCTCGGCCCCGCTCTGCGAAAACGCGACGCGGAACGCGGCCGAGATCGTTTCGGCGCTCGATGCGCGTACAGGTAATCCCTCGCGGCGGACTCTCGCCGAAATATGACGTATTTCGCGGGGAACACCGCGCAGTATGGTATCGCCGGGGTGAGGGAGTGGTGGGGCGGGTGACGGTGGGAACGTCTCGCGGAGCGAGGACTTGGTCCCGCGCAACGGCGATCGGTCGCTCGCGTCGGTTTCGTCACCGGGCTTCTCAGCTGACGGCGAAAAACAACCGTCCGCGTTGGGCGTGCGTAGCGTCGGCAACAGCTGATCGCCGCCATGACGGATTAAGATTAAAAGAACCGTTCTCCATGCAGTCTCCACCCTCTATCCATATCGCTTCGTCCGAACGAAGGCCCGACGAGGAAAGCGATCGCGAGAGAGCGCGTATTCTCGTAAGAGATACGCGGGCGTGTCAAGTCGGCGTCCGTCGTTTCGCAGAAACGCCGGGAGCGCCGAGTACGCAAGCCCGGAGTACGGAGCCGCGGCGGAGAGACGCGAGAGGGGAAATTGCGCCGGGAGAGAGAGAGAGAGAGAGAGTGAGCGCGAGCGAAGGGGGAGGGGGTGGGAGGCGGGGCGGGG